ACATTACTTTGAGAGCCAATACTCAAATGACCTGGAATTGCTTTAAAATAGGATACTTCTATGCATAACATGTTGAGGAACTCCCTCACCATTTTCACAATGGCTCACACTTTAAATTCCCCTCAGAAATGCACCAAGATTCTTCCAACTCACCAACACTCTTGTCACCCAAGCCAACACCTGGTATTTCCTCTTCTTTTATTCTTTCTTCATTTCCTTTTTAATGGTAGGTTTCCAACTGGGTATGAAGCTCTCATTTTCAGTTTTCTGGAAAAGTTGACCATGTTTCCATGTGCATGTTTCTCATGTGCACATCTTCCTCAGAAGGATGTGCCTTCAAATCAAATGCCTAGTTTTGGATGATGCAGGGCAGTGAACCCAGAGCCTCATGCCTGCTGCCCCAGTGCCCTACCAGTGAGCTACACCTGGCATTTGCTCTGTTTATAAAGATTGTGTACTTGGTTCTCTAGTCATTATTGTTGTAGAGTGGGAAGTTATTTAGATACTGTTGATGTTTATGGCTATAATTTATACAAATACTTCTCCAAGTCCATGGAGAGTCTTTTTCCTCTATTGAAAGTCTTCCTTAGTGAGTTTATTTTTTAAATTGACAAAGTATTATCTATTTTTATACTTGAGCTTTTGATGTCTTACCTATGAGGTCTTTGCTAAAATCTATGTAAAAGAAGATTTTATATGAAGACTGTATTTCTCTCAAGAGTTGCATATCTTTCATCATTACATTCAAGGCTTTAACACACATTTAGAAAACTGAATATATATATTTTAGAATGGCTGAAATTGCATGGTTTCATGGTAATACCATTTGTCCAGCATATTTATTGAAAACATTATACTTTTCCCATTGAATAATTTTAGCACATTTGTGGAAAATAATGCGATCATTTATGTGATTCGTTTTTCTGGGCTCCACATGCTGTTCAGTTAGTCCCTTTCTCTTTTTGTCACTACCTCACTCTTCATTACTGTCACTTCACAGGTGATTTTAAAATCAGAAACTCTAAGTTGTCCCATGCTGGGCAATCTAAAGGTTGCTTTCATGCTTGGGGTCCCTGACTATGACCCCTGTCCCAGAACATGTCCTGGTGCACTCAGAGTGCTGGGTTCAGTTCTTTCCCAAAGCACAGGACACTTTGAGTCCAGACTCTGTGTCTGTGAGTGAGTGGCTGGACTCCTGAGATAAGGGGCAGAGACCTTGCCTAAGCCAAACGCTCACACTGGGTGAGCAGAAGTGGGGAATGGCAGGAGGGTAGTGATGTGTCCATGACAGAAGTTATCTTCTAAGGGTGACAGCATCCATGTGGGAGCACTCTCTGAGGGAGCTTTGGAGCAGAGCTCTGGGTCAGAGCAGAGGTAGATGAGCCTGCAGTGCATGTTCTGAAACATCCATTCACATTTCATAATGTGATGCTCAATCCACTTCTCATTGTTAATCTTAACAAACTAATAGTTTATCTTGTCATAGCATTCTTAATAAATCAGTTTCATCAGATTAACTCAGGTCCCCTCATGGGGAAAACATAAATTGGAATTTTCTCTGTATTGGTATAGGGCTTCTATTTTTCTAGCTTAATGCCTAATTCATGTGTCTAATATTTCTCCTGAAAATTAAGATTTATATGGTGTATTTGTATTCATCACTTTAATACATAAAATATTAACATATAGCAAGCAACGTAGAAGGGATGTCAATGTGTGGATTTAAATAGCAGATTGTAAAATTTGAAAAAATAATTTACTCACTTTCAAAAATCTACCAGAAATACAGATATTTTTCTCAGGTAATATATAGATGAGTAGTGTCTTAAGGTATTTCTCTTAAAGTCTTATAATTTTATTAGAAGTTCAAAGCATTGTTTTATTTTCTTTCAGAGCCTATAAATATGAGTATATTTCATATCACATCATGATATATATTAAAAGTATGCATTCAAAACATTTTCCAAATTACTTTTTTCATCAATTAGTGTCTTAGAATACATGTTTCTTCCTCAAAATGTAGACATATAGCATTTATATTCTTTCAAAAACAAGTAATAACTACACTCTGGGCATGAAATATGAACATAAAGAGTTCAAGCATCTTTCTTACCTCATTTTTATTTGTGGTACTGGGGATTGAACCCAGGACCTTGTGTATGCTCAGCAAGTGCCCTGAAACTGAGCTACTACCTCAGCCCCCTACCTAATTTTTATGATGAAAATTACTTTTGAGCATGTTTTTCATGGCCTTCAGAATGTCTTTATTCCTGAAGCTGTAGATGACAGGGTTGAGGGTGGGTGTGAGAATTGTGTAGAATATGGAGTGGAACTTATCCTGGCCTAGAGTGTGGTAGGATTTAGGTCTCATGTATGTGAAAATAAGCAGCCCATAGTACATGACAACCACAATCATGTGGAAGGAACAAGTGGAAAAGGATTTTTCTTGTCCTCTGAGGATTTTGTTTGTAAGACTGTATGTAGAATTTTGACATAAGATACAGAGATCATGGAGAAAGGGGTAAAGAGGAAAATAACAGCACTAACATCAACCCCTCATTCGTAGTGTGATGTGTCCACAGAGGGCACCCTAAGCAAGGCAGGGATCTCAAAGAAATAGTGATCGATCACCCTAGACTCACAGAAGGGAAAGTGGAGCACATAGGCTGTGTGGACTATGGAGTTCTGGGTCCCCACCAGCCAGGACCCTGCAGCCAGGAGCACGCTGACACTGTCACTCATGAGCATGGCATAGTGCAGGGGGTGGCAGATGGCCACATAGCAATCATAGGACATGGCAGACAGGAAAAGGTACTCATCACCTAGCAGGATGACAGACAGGAAGTTCTGGAATCCTCAGCCTGCAGAGGAGATAGTTCTGGTGCCAGACAGGAAGTTGGTGATCACTTTGGGGATGATGTTGGAGATGTGCAAGATGTCCATGAAGGAGAGGGGGCTGAGCAAGAAGTACATTGGGGAGTGGAGGTGGGAGTCCCTGCAGATGAGGAGTATCAGGAGGGCATCAGGATGAAAATGCTGTACAGAGAGGAGAAGAAGACCAGGCTGGTGTGAGAGAAAGAGAACAATCCCAGAAAAATGAAATCCCTGCTGGAAGTCTGATTCTCAGGGATCATCTTGAATGCTCTACTTTAACCATAAAAAATAATAATAACAAATTAATTAGTTAGTTAAACAAGTGCCTGGCTGCTTAATTAAATTGTAATGATGAAAGTAATTAAGTGGCAATCACCTTTACATTTGTCTACATAATACTTTGAAAGTTGGTTATGCATCTCTCCTGATCAACACCAAGGGCCTCTCAACCAGTGTTGTCAGTGTGGTGCTCTAAAAGGTGGACAACTCCCTTTCTAAATCCAATGGTAACACTGATATGTTGGCTGTGTTCCTGATTCTGTGCTAAGTCTCAGTTGTAGCTAATTCCATGGGCTTCACTCTGGCGCCCCCTGTCAGGGGCCCTGGCCCAGTCTCCCTTGTGAACTCTCATTGCTTCCCCTCAGTCCCTGACTCTCCTGGTCCAACTTATGCTGGTTATTCTCCATATTTTCATGCCCAGCTCTGTCCCACCTGGAGAAGTGCACAGTAAACTATGTGTTGTGGGTGTTGCCCTGATGTGCTCCTGCTCTCTGCTGTGGGTGAAATTCTGTGGGAGACACTGCCTGGGGCACAGCCAGCCCAGCCTTGTCTGTCTCTCTCAGGAGTGCAATGTATGAGCTGGGGAACATGCTTATCTTATTGTGTTTTCACTCATACAATACTTTTAGAAAGTAAAGTACATTATTTCTAAGACTCCCAATATGAATAAGAAGTAAAATAACACAATTTAGCTTAGCCTGTGTATGCAATTTGAAACATCAGTCATACTTTATCAGAGAAAATCAAAGGCTTGAGTCAGTCACAACCAATAATCCATCTTTAGAAATATACTTTAGTTATGCCTGTTTTATGATTTTAAAAATTGGATCATTTTTAATATTTTTATATATGGCAACACAGTGTGAAAACTGCAATGACAAATTACAAATGAACTATTTGGCTCATAATCAATTAATTCAAAGGATGCAACTGTTTTATACCTCAAGACAAAACACTTGATCTTATTGATGGAAATCCTTTTGACGTACACATTTAATTGGTAACCAACATGCTCTGGCCTGGTTTCTGTGCAAATGTTCCACCAAATTCACTCCTGACTTGAAATAATTCTCTTCTTATAAACATGGTCATATCACAATATCTCCTCCAAAGAGAAATAAATTCTATGGTACCTTTTACTCTCCAGTGATCCTACCCTCAATTTTTAATCATTTGTTTTGTTCTTAGTCAAGATTTATGAAGTGCCCTATGTATCCACTAATTTTAACTTGCTGAGACTTAAAATATTTTCCTTTCTCTTCTGAAGTATTCATTACACAAATGAATATCATCACTTTGATACATAAAAATATTAACATATAGCAAGCAATGTAGAAGGGATGTCAATTTGTGGATTTACATAGCAGATTGTAAAACTTGAAAAAATAATTTACTCACTTTAAAAAAATCTACCAGAAATATAGATATTTTTCTCAGGTAATATATAGATGAGTAGTGTTTTAAGGTATTTCTCTTAAATTCTTATAATTTTATTAGAAGTTCAAAGCATTGTTTTATTTTCTTTCAGTGCTTATAAATACAATATGAGTGCATTTCATATCACATCATGATATATATTAAAAGTATGCATTCAAAATTCAAAACATCTTCCAAATTACTTTTTTCATCAGTGTCTTAGAATATATGTTTTTCCCCAAAATGTAGATATACATGATTTATATTCTATCAAAACTAAGTAATAACTAACTCTGGACATTAAATATGAATATAATGAGTTCAAGCACCTTTCTTACCTCATTTTTATTTGTGGTACTAGGGATAGAACCCAGGAACTTGTGTAGGCTAAGCAAGCACTCTGCCACTGAGCTACCACCTCAGCCCCCTACCTAATTTTTATGATGAAAATTACTTTTGAGCATAATTTTCATGGCCTTCAGAACATCTTTATTCTTGAAGCTGTAGATGACAGGTTTGAGGGTGGGCGTGAGGATGGTGTAGAATATGGCCAGGAACTTATCCTGGCCTGGAATGTGGTAGGATTTGGCTTTCATGTATGTGAAAATATAGGGCCCATAGTACATGATGACCACAACCATGTGGAAAGAACGGGTGGAAAAGGACTTTTTCCAGGCCTCTGAATATTTGGTTTGCAAGACAGTGTGCAAAACTTTGACATAAGATACAGAGATCATGGAGAAAGGGATCAACAGGAAAATAATGCCACTTACATCAAGTCCTTGTTCATAGTGTGATGTGTCCACACAGGACAACTTCAATATGGCAGGAATTTCACAGAAATAGTGATTGACCACCCTAGGTTCACAGAAGGGAAAGTGGAGCACATTGGCTGTGTGGACTATGGAGTTGAGGGACCCCACGGCCAGGAGCACATTAACACTGTCACTCATGAGCACGGAATAGTGTAGGGGGTGGAAGATGGCCACATAGCAAACATAGGACATGGCAGCCAGGAGAAGGCACTTGCCACCTAGCAGGGCCAGGGACAGGAAGATCTGGAATCCACAGCCTGCAAAGGAGATAGTTCTGGTGCCAGACAGGAAGTTGGTTATCATTTTGGGGATGATGTTGGAAACATGCAAGATGTCCATGAAGGAGAGGTGGCTGAGGAGGAAGTACATTGGAGAGTGTAACCAGGAGTCCCTGTGGATGAAGAGGATCAGGAAGGCATTTTCTGTGACAGTCAGGATGAAAACAATGAACAGAGAGGAGAAGAAGACCAGGCTGCTGTGGGAGGAAGAGAACAGTCCCAGAAGAATGAAATCAGTGCTGGACAGCTGATTCTCAGGGCTCATCTTGCATTTCTGTGTTTTAGCTATAGAGAAAATGTAAAGATGAAAAAGTAGAAAAATCCCAAACTCATTCCCATGGATCTGTGTAACAAAATGAGACCTTCTGAAGTATTTTACATCAACATCAAAGGTTTATTAGAGAGTTTTATGCATGCCAAACTTACAGAATGGACGTTTATGGGTGTCAGTCACCTCGGGAGACTTAGTATGTTGATTCTGCCCTTGGCTCTACATTGAGTCTCAAGGTCATAGTGAATTCTGTGAACTTTGCTCCAGTTATCTCTCAGATGTGGCCTGTAGTGGCCCACCCTTCACTCTTTTGAAAGTCTTGAACCCTAACTTTCCTGTACCTCTTAACCTGCTCCATTTCACATTTTGCCTGCCCCTTCCCACCTTCTATCATATTAAATAATAAACATGAGTTGGATCTATTCCTATTTTCATTTTCTCCACCAGCATTTTGAGAATACCTTTGCTGTATTCACTGATGGAAGCCAAATGCTTAGCGTATTGACTGGCTCATAAGAGTTCTTCAGTATTATCTGATGAATTAATGAATAGAATGTGTTGATCATACTAAATTGGATTTTCTCTTGAGCCTGTGGTCTGGAGAGTACTTTCTTTGTGCTCTGGTCCTACTATAAAAAGTGAATGAATTTTTTATTATTTGTTCATCTGTTGTAGCACATATGTACACTCCATCCAAGATCTAGGTATCATAAGTTGTGTGCTGTCAACATGGATATACATATATGCCAGTATGGTGAGTTTAACTCTCTCTAGAAATGGAACTTATATTTTTAGTGTTTTACAGAATCACTGTATTGAACTTCATAGTGGTTGTACTATTTTACATTCCCATCAACAATGTAGGAGAGTTCCTTTAAAAGGAAAATGACTTGGAAGCATTCAAATGTAAGTGGATGCAACTTGAGACACAATATTAAATGAAATAAGTCCAACACATAAGCTTAAATATCTTGTGGTTTCACTTATCTGAGAAATATATATATATGGACAGAGAGAATGAGAGCAAAATACAAGACATAAATAGGAAATAGAAAGAAGTTCAAATAATTCTCAAAATTATCTATTCCAAAAAAATATTTTATATGCTAATTTATTTCATTTATTTTATGAGTTTCTTTTAATTTACTAAAAAAGGTTTTTTAGTTTATCTGTTATTTTTTTGTGAGGCAGAATCATATTTGTCTATGTGTTATATTCTAAAGAACTACTTTGAAGATTATGATACACAGTGTATTATCTATTGATATTCTCTTATTTTGCTATGAAATTTTGTTGTTTCATTTTCTTCATAAAATAAATTTTTTTAAAACTAAGTAAATATATATTGAGAAGAAGGACCTTAAGTTTGTAAATAAATTTTTGAAATCTAAACTTTTAGAAATTGAAATGTAGGAATTCTAAGGAATTGAAAATTGTAAGTGATAAAATGTTATAAAAATATTTATAATGTTAAATAAACACATGTTTATATATAAGAAATCATGTCTATTTAATCAAAATAACAATACATCTTTAAGAGTATATTATAATTTCTCCTTTCTATCTTACAGAAATTGAACTATAATGCATTAATTTTTTGTGGGGAATACTAAGTCTTCATGTTACTAATATTTATAGCATGGTGCCTTAAATGTTTACACACCCTTGTGTCTATGATGTCTTCCTTTATATATATATAAATATATATATAAATAATGTAATATGTAATAATATATAAATATATATAATATTTTTTATATATTTACATGCATGCACATATTCACAGATAAATGATTACAGGTAACATATACTGATCTAGAGTTCTGTCCTTGAATATCTGCTCTGATCACCAAAATTAACAAAATGTTAGACAGTTTTTTGCAGTGATTCACAAATTTGACTATAATAAATTTCAATTTCACTTTTTGGAAAATTAATGTGCAGATTATGTTACTGAAATATATAAGTGCCTCATAGTTCATTGTTTTTCTGGTGTGTAAATGTGATTCTTCACTGTGAACCTCAGTCCTATTTTGTCCTGCATGTTAGCCATGGTTTGCTCTCGGCTTCAGAGTCTGGAGAGCAGCACCTGAGTGAGGTGCAGACTCATGCAAGTGCACCGCATCTGGCCCACAGCCCTGGGCTGTGTGATCACAGACACAGATGGAGAATTAGGGGCATGGTGCCTAATGTGACCTGGTGAATGTAAGTGAATTTTCAAAATTAACGACTACGGCTGTCAATTCTAATTCAACCACATTTTACTCAAAGTTGTTAACTTTCCTTTACTCACTGGAACCATATTATTATTCTGGATTTTCTTTTTCAATAAATTATTTACTTTATTGCAGTCATTCCAGGTCCCTTTAGTAATGAATTCCCAATTTTTACAGAATCTCTGCCCCATAGTAAGTTTCATTAAATGCTTATTATAAGAACATTTCATTTATTCTTATGGGCACAGGTACACAAGCAATTCAAGTATAAATCGATTCTTCCACTTATGCTACTTTACCTGATTTTCTATTTTATAGAGTTCATGTTCTCTATACAACTATATTTATATTTTCTCTTTATTGAAAACAATCCATAGTTTATTTCTTATTTTACTAGATATCTTCTACCATTATATACATGCTTCTCTGGGGCATCTCAACATTCTTCAGTTTTGTTTTATAACACTTTGCACAGTCACTGCACAAAAAAAAAACAACCCCAGGATGGTAGAATTATTAAACTATGCCTTTGCCACCAGCCAAGCATTTCTGGGCTTTGGATAAAATCTACACTGGAATCCAAAGCAGAGTTCTCTGGCAGCATAACTCTTACCGTGGAGAAAAGCTGGATCATACAACATGTGTGGAACTCTTTCCAAGGAAAATCTGTTTCCCCATCGAGGTCCCAAAGTTTCTTGTTAATAATGCTAAGTAGGGAAATAGCTGAAACATACACTTCTCACCTATATCTTTTCTGTAAGATTTGAGGCTAAACAGAAAACATGCTTTCCCATAATTTTGCTTTAACTTTTTCAACAATCCTTTGAATGCATGGTTTTTGAGAAGTTCTTACAGTTTCAAAGCATCTCTCCATGTCTTTATATTTAAGTAAAGTTTCAGAATTTGGAGGAAATGCTCAGTTCAGTCTACAATGATACCGGCATACATTATTATCCATGTAAACTGTTTATTTGAACTTAAAATAGTCATTTTATTTTTAGGAAATAAGCCTCTGTTGCTGGAGTAAGAATAATATATCAGAGAACAACAATGTACTACTTTCAAATGTAAATTTGAGCCAATAGCACACCAATTCCTAGGGTAGACTCCTATTATTACATCTATTATATCACATTCCATGTGGACTACTTTAAACAAAGCCATGATTTTATCCCATACTATTATGGCAACTCAGTGTTTGAACTCTGTTTGAGTTATGTTGCAATGTCCCTGAAAGAATTACAGTACCATCACTATGTTTTTCAAATCAGTTGGTCACAATTTACTAAGTATGATACTTGAAATTTTTATGAAGATCTTAAAATATTGTAAAGCAACATTACATTGACTCATGTAGTTCATTTCGTATGAAGAAAGTTTAATACAATGAAACTGAGTGGAACACAATCATTTGTCTATGTGTATACTATGTCTTTTAAATGACTGTATGTGATTAAGTATTAGTATGTGTATAGGAGAGAGATAGAGACAGAGGGAGGAAAAGGGAGGGAGGTTTTCAATATTTGTGTGTTTGTGTGTGTGTGAGAGAGAGACAGACACACAGACAGAGAAAAGCAGAGACAGCAGGACAGAGATATAGAGACAGAGAAAGACAGAGAGAGGAAAAAGGGAGAGAGGTTTCAACTTAGGCTCTCTTCATTACTTAGCAATCAGTCCCACTGGTTTGTTCAGGCAGCCTCATTGTTTGATCCCCATGGATGAGATGACACAGGACGTAACATATCTGTTCCACCTAGGGAATCAAACCGTCCCTGGCTAAGGTGGTGCAAATGCTGCATTAACCATCAGCCCCACTTTGAATCAAGACCTAGCTCTAGATACAGCCACACCCTTACCTCCTAGTGCACCCCTTAACCACGGCCTGCATACACCCCAAATCTGTCAATTATTTGGTAGTTATGTGAGTGCTTAAAACATGCTATGGATTGAATAACTTAGTTATAATTACACAATTTTACTAGAGACATCTCCTCTTATGGATAAATCATACAAAACACACTTTTAGTAAGGGGCCCTTGTTCACTAATATCATTTCAACTGCACATGAAATGTATTTATTTACTCTTCTATGATCATAGTACAATTTCTTTAAAAACTTTTAACTGTAAGACAAGCAAAAGGTAAAAAAACATAAAATTGACTTTTGTAAATGATTTGCTTCAAAAATATTGGATATGAAACTCCTGGAGAATAGTGCATTTACCTGAATATTTCACATTTTATGAAAATGTACTTTTAGTTTATAAATTTTCAATAAATCTTTGATATCAATGAATTACATGGAATAATCATTATAACTTTTGTCCTAAAAATTTCAAGTATTAGACTTAGTGTGATAGTCAGCAAATGACCAAAAAAGTTATTTTTACTAGTAATCCTTTTAGGAGCACTGCAAACTAATGAGAGAAGCAGAAATCATACACAGAATGGACATAATATGTGTGGAATAAGGTCATTATTTTAAGTAACTGATATGGAATGGTGTATAATGAATATGATCAGTGTCTGGCCTAAGAATTGGTGAATTATTCCCTCAAAATTTATGTTTAAAAATTTTAAATTATCTATTTCTTAGTTCTTAGAGAAAACATATCCTCTGTCTCCTCTGTACACAAAATACTGATCAGTTACAAATTATACCTGAAAAGAATTTCTATTAAGCAATGACAAACAGTCTTCCAGTGGACCAAGGCAACAGCAGACTCTGCCTGAGGGATGCTCTCCGATGAGACAGATGCAGCATCATGTTCCAGGGAA